GAACACATCTTCGAAACCGACTCTTTTACTGCATAGCAGAAACTAAAGTTAGGTACAAATTTAATGGGTTTTCTCAAAGGAAACTGATTAGCTCAGGTTCATTACAAAATATATCCCATGTTAATCAGATATAGGCAAAAATTTCGTTGTTATCATTTTCACTCCTTAACGGATTGCACTAACATTTTCCGCAAGTTTTGACAAATCGAAACTGCCCTTTCGGTCATTGAACTCTACCAAAATGCAAGTCAACTACATTAACTTAACCACAAAATTCATGTATTTACCAAAATTAGCCGAAAAAATAATGTTACAGTTCAACTCATGTATGCACTTCCGATACGCCCAAAACTAAGCCACACACAAAATTCCATTTGCTGCAAAAACAACATTTCTCCAAAATGGCAAACGCCTAAAATAAATTCACATGAAATTAATCAAAAAAATATGCTTTAATTTAATTAAATTCTCTAACACGCCTGGGCGTATGCAATAAATTATGAGCACAGCACAAACACAACGAGTAAGCAAATAAGCAAACGAGCAAGTGTGCAAATGCTTAGAGGCTGTTTGCCAGTGACACATCTACCACAGCTTACTATCAAGCGGCGTATGTATTGCCACGCAAACACACATACTTATAACATATAAATGCATTTTGAAATTGAAAATGATGCGCTTGAGTGCAACTAAAAATATGCAAAACTTCTAAATGGCACATTGCCGCTTACTTTATATACGAAAGCGCAGAGAAATATATATTATATATATACGTATAATTCCGCCATGTATTTGTGTATGCTCATGCACTCATTCTCTAATTTACTCATGCATGTTGGCCACAAATGGTTGGCATTTGCGCGCACGCTGTTTGTGAGCGGTTGAGTACGAATATTTTATAGAGCTTACGTGGCAGCCTAAAAGCATGCAATAATTTAATACAGATCTCCATTCAAACATACATACATACATACATACACACTGGCACAGTTGCAGCAAATGCGCATTAGTGTGGTTCGACTATGTCTAACATTTCACTGACTCGGCGGTGGCGGTGGCGACGGTGGCGGCATTGACGATGGTGTGGTTTCGGCGAATTACACTCAAAAATGTTGGCAAATATTTATATACATATGTATGTATGTACATATGTGATAGAAAAGAGATAACTTTCAATGTAACTAAATTTATGCAACATTTGTTGCATCATCAACAATTTACGCGAAAGCAGCATACTTTTGCGTACGTCTGTGTGTGGGGGTGTCGGCAGGCAGTAGTTGTGCAGTGTATTTGCTCGTGCCACTACTGCTCTAATGCACAAATTACCAGCGAGTTGTTTTAATTTACTCGCTACCGTTCCACTACCGTTAGTGAACTCACACCAACACACATACACACTCATACCCCAGCAATTAACCTTCAGGCCGGCTTGCAATTATATTTTCACTCACATTTGTCGGCGAGTCATTCATTTTGTTGCATTTATTTGAATTTGCCAAATAGTTTTGAATGGAAAAAATTAAACAACAATATGTAACAACAACAACAATAACAAAATTGTTAGTCGAAGCCATTAGCGATAAACAATGTTCATGCATTTCTAGTTGGCTCACAATTTGTTGTAAGGGCCTTTTGGACGATTTTCTCCATGCATTTATTGGTTTATTTTATTGCCTACATTTAAGCACACATCCACACATATATGTAATATGTATGCATTCACTGCTAATGAACACCAAATATGCAATTAGCACAGAAGTTGAGTTATTTCGACACAAATATTTATTTGCCATTTTGACCTCAAGCATACTTGCATACAGCGCTTTAGAGCCGCTGGCGGGACGTCATGCAGAGCGTGTGTGCGCCCAATGGTATGCTATAAGCTTGGCAACATTTGGTTACATTTGGAAATAACTTGTGGTTGTTGGTATTTGATTTTGTACGCTGTTTTGTTTATTTTTATTTAATTTTTTTTTTTTTGCTTTTTTTGATGAATTTTCCTATGGCACGTAATGCGAAAATTAATAAGCACATTCGTGTACTAGTCAATTCTATAATGTTTATTTATATATACATATGCTCTCACGAACATTTGTAACAACTGAAATATTCTGGTCAGCTACATTTGACTAATTCACATAATTCACATATAAATAATTAGAATATTACTTATAAGCAAATGAGGATGTGTATAGACACAGGAAAGTAGGTTTTGGTCGCTCTTATGCTAACCAGTAGCTTCTTCTGTTCAATGCAAATATATTTGTGTACAGTTACTCCCTTATGCTTTATTTTTGGTCCTGAATGTGCTAAGCTGTGCCATTTGCTTATTGTAGCTGTGTATTGCTATATATAAATTTATATGTTTTCACATCGGTTATAATGAGTTCCTCGCCCATATTGTAATAAAAATAATTTTTTATGATTTTTTTCTCTTTTTTATTATTTGGATTTATTAAAAAACTTCTAAGCTGCTACAACTTGCTTGATGTTTCATTGTAAGTTACAGTATTGTGATATTTATAAGCGCAGCTTGGATGGTGACGAACCTGTTAGAGCCACTTTGCAGCTGAAACTATAAACTACGTTTATTCGACAGCACGATAACGTGAGGAAGTGAAAATAAGGCTATGTGAAAGGATGTTTGGTTGAATTTAGACTTTTTCACCTGCCCTGACGTATAGGTTTTTGTTGCGATGTTTAAGCCTTAAGACTCCTAATTATCTGAATCAATAGAGCTTTTAAATCAGCACCAGCGTTAAAATCCCGGCATGTGGTCATAGTAGCGGAACGCTATCCCTGAGCGAAATGTTGATATAGAAAAAGAATACGGATTTCACCAATCTCCCTTTAAATTCTTGTGATTTTTTAAACTTTGAAATCTTAATAAAAAATGTGTTTTTCAAGAAATGGTTAAGCTTTCTGCTTGAAGAAAATTTAGAAATGTTGAAAACTTACTTCGAAAATGATAGTTCTTCAAAAGCAGCAGCAAGAAAATGATCAAATAAGCCAATTCAATTGCTCCTTACGTGTACCTAGAAGAAAATATTGATGCTGCAGTTCAAGTTGTGCCCAAATAGTTATCAACATCAACTCAATTACTTTCGATGAAACAAAATAATTCACACATTTCTTTGCGTATGATTTTAAATAAAAACCAAGACCTGTGATTAAGAACTGTTTCAAGAACAGAAGCTTCAGGGCAAAGTGATTCCGCTCCACACAATGAACGAAGGATCGCTCGGCAGCAGACAAGCAATTTTACCGGAAAATCGTTGTTTTCAGACGAATCTCATTTTCGCTGCCCTTTGAAGATAAAAAAAAACCCACACAGAGCCAGAGAAAATGCAATGCGTATGCAATCATCGGCGGACTTTTTGATGCAACATATGGACTGGCAGCACGATTGGTTCGTGTTTTTAAACAGGGCTGAACTGCGGTTACTATCAATAACAACGTTTATCGTGCTTAGAGATTATTTCCTTTCAATTATTAGAGAGAGGACATGAACGACAATGGAAAAAAATTACTCTCCTGTTAGTCAAGGCAGGGCACTCTAGGCGATTGTTTCACTCATATGGTTCAATTGCTGACAGTTTCAGTCCATATCAAGAGTTTGGCATAGGACAGAAGCTTGTTAGTTGTTAATCATTTCAAATGCATAACAAAATCTTTTAGGCCCTCAACCCTAGCTTGTACACCATTTGAGCTGGCTCAACATTGATCCGAATTATGTAATTACCAGAAGTAGAAGAGATAGACCCACTTAAATTCTTTCCGATATGGAGAGAATCACTAGCTGATTTTATTTAGACATGCCCGTCTCTCCATCGGTTGGTATGCAAACTAGCCCCTCTCTATATGAGATTTTTCCGCCAAGCTTGGTTGACGCTGGCACATTGAGAGGACTTGAGTTAACAAGCCATCAAAAAGGCATGTGAGAGCAAGGAATTTTTCGATCGACGCACATATACTAATACTATTAAACATTGGCACCGAATACCATCAGAATCGGTGAGATATATAAGATAGCCCCGTTCAATCAGTTATTGAATTATGAAAATCAATATTAAAACCATAAATAAAATACAGTAAAATTATAAGGAATTCGACATGGCCAAAGGAAGCTCCCTTTTCTTGTCAAACTCACGTTTTTACGAAAATTATTTAATTAATTTTTTTTTTGTAATTCCAAAACCCGTTTGTGGTACAAAACTTTTCTCAATACTGTACATACATACGAAGAAATTCATTTATACGTGTAAATCAGTACGCAAAGCTATTATTATCATAATCATCGTCACCATATATGATTATGTAAATTCATGTAACTGTAGTTGTTTGTTGCTTCGCTATTTCGCGCCATCAAATTTTTGTTCTTTCTTATTTCATTTCCATTTTTTTTTCGATTTACTTCATATCTCTATGCATATTTTGCATGTTTGTTGTTTTATAATAAACATGAATATTTAACTATGTGCCAGTATGTACTTGTGTACGTGTTGTAAGTGGATTAGTTATTTGGATCAGTGTAAATTTTAAGTAGATTAGTAAGCGGATTTGTGCGCAATTAAACCAAACGAGTGTTGAAAGTAAATTTACGTTGAAACATTTGCAAATCAGCTTGTAAATTTAGTTGAGTGAGTTTTTATGTGATTTTGCTGGCGAACGTAAGTGAGACTTAATGTAATGGGATTCATGTTTAAATGTAGTGGAAATTTAATTTTTGAATGCTTTATATAATTTTGAATGAAAAAAAGTTTTAACCAAAAGGAAGTAAGTAGATATGTCTTTGAAGGGGAGCGTGTTGTATGGAGAGGCGAACCAATCAAATTTGATTATTCCAAGAACTATTTTTTATCGATTTAAAAGCAAATTTAATATTTTATTATTAATACAAATTAAATGGTTAATTTTAATTAATGAAAAATATTAATAAGAGTATATTAAAGGAAATTCAATATATTTCTTTCAATCATTCAAAACTCAAGCGAACTTACCGTTATATAAAAACACTTGCGTAGTCACACGATTACGTTTCTCTCGCCTATCGAAGCACGCACTTGCCAAACAACACGCATTTGGCGAACAACGAACGCAGCAAAACGCCAACGAAGACAGTCCTCTTAGAATTTGTTGTCTATTTTATATTTTTTTGTTTTTTATTATTTATTTTTATTAGTTTTTTTGTTTCGTTCAATCACTTCACGTTTAAATGCTGCACTTTACACAAGAACCGATTTATTTATATTTTTTTATTCCATTTTTTTATTTTATTCTTTTCTCCTGCAAGATTTTTCTAAACGCAAACACAAAAAAAAACAGTGAAAGATGTAAAAATAAATGCACAATTTTTTTCTTCCAGATTTTCTTTTAATTTCTGCTTAATGCAGCTTTCTTATTGTATCGCTTAATTCGTTTTATTTCAATTTTTTTTTAATAGAAAACAGCACAGGAAATAACAAAAAAAATCAGTTGGGATGAAAGCAGTTTAAGATTGCATAAGACTGCACTGCTAGCGTTTAAGTGACTGTGAAGAATTGTTTGGTATAAAGAAACTTGCTCAAATTATTCTTTCTTAAAAATGCAAAAACTCTTCTTTGGCATTTATCGTGCACTCGTTTGAAGTTTTTCAGCGAATTTATTTAATTTCTTCTTCTTTTTTATCGCTTATCAGCAACTAAATTTTTGTTTATAATACTTTGCTACACTTATTTATTTTTATTTTATTTTACTCTTATATTTACTTTATTTTTCTTTAATTTCTTTTTTTTTTTTTCTTTTATAATATTATTTTATTTTATTTTTAATCCTTTTTATTATTTTTCTTTTAGTTTTGTACCCTTCCTTGCACTTATTTATTGCTACTTATGCCATTGTTCTAGTTTGCGCTTAAAGTTTTCGCTACACTTATTTTACTCGCCTCCTACCGCGCGTGTCTCTCTTTCTCTCTGTCTCATCATTTTTCGCTCTCCCTTGAAGTTTTGCCTTGGATTCCTTAGCCTCTTGCACTTTTGCTTGTTTTACTTACAATGCCGGAAATACGTTACAAATTACGCTTTTGTTGTTGTGCAGTGTAGAAATTTATTTTATTTTATTGTTTAATTCCTGTTGCAGCTATCGTAAGGTGAGATTTTTTTTTTTAATTTTTTTGCTTTCCTACTCTCAACAATACTTTTTCGCTGTATCAATTATTTTTGTGTATTTTTCCTTTTTTTGATCTTTACTTTAATGGCTTGCGATTTTTCTTGCACCGATTTCACTTCCGTTACGCTTTTGTTTTTACCGAAACTTTTTACTGTATTTCTTTTTCCAAATATTCCTCTACTCAGTCAAGTAAGTACGGCTCCTTAGAGCTTAAAAACAACAGCAGAACTTAAATGATTTCCAAACTTTTTTTGGCAATACTGATTTTGTTGCTTCAAATATATATGCATGTGTGTAGTATATATATATTTTATCACTTGATTCTATTGCAGTTTCTTCAAATAATTTGCTTTCAGCTGCTTTGCTCTATTTCGCTTAAAATAATTTTCAAGATTTTCTTTTACTTTATTTTGATTTGTTGTGTTTTCTCTTTTATGCTTCATTCATTTAATATTTTTTTATATTTAATTTTTTATCTTATTTAATTTTTTAATTGTATCTATATGTAACAAATAATTTTCGCTTATATTTTTATTCAATTTGCTTTGCTGCACTTTTCTTCTATTTCAGGTTCGTTATTTTAAGCTCTTCTGCGCGCTTACTTTTGTAACGCATTGATTGAGTTTCCGTTTCCGCTTTTAAATGTGAAATGAATTGCTTTTTCTTAGATTTCTCCACTCCTTGTTGCATTTAAATCTCGCTGATTCTAGTGCTTGAAACTGAAATTGAGTTAAAATAAAATTATGTTACCAAAAATACGATTGATTCGCATGGGAGTTAAATCTTAAATTATTAAAAAAAAATAGTTTTTGGTACTAATTAAGAGAATACTGAAAAAAAGTTTAAAAGGTTTTGTGTTTCACTAAAATAAAATTTCGTAGATTGTTTGGTTAAAAGATTAGGTTTTTACCTTCAGAGCTGGCAAAGACACTTAAGGAAATACGTAAGTAGGCCCTTAGTACTCTATTATACGCCTGACGGTTGAAGCTTAAAGCATCTTAAAAGATATGAAATCTCTTTCTCTTCAAGATTGGACAACCTCGAGGTTCTTTTAAAGATTTTCCGAATATTATTTCTGCTTAGAAAGTAGAAAAGAGATGGCAAGCAAAGAGTAGACTTTTATATGTACATTAATATATTATTGGAGCTACATAACCACCTAAGGGAATTTCAGCCGAAATCATACTCTGATTTGTGGAGTGCATCTTGCTGGCGGTGAGCAAATGGAACGAACAGCAAAAGGATTTTGAAGAATGTAATAAACACAATTGTGCAGGTGAACAATCCCTACCGAAAGTTGGACACAAGTAAAACATTTCCATCATTACTTGTAGGTTGGCCTGTAGAGAATTCGAACAAACAATTCTACAGACAGATGCTTGAACAGAACCACGCGGTAGCAATAGCTGCCGTTTAACAACGTTATCTGCTGAATCTGCAGCTGTTTTGCCACAAAATTTTTTTATTTCATAAATTTATTTATTTCTTATTTTTTCGAGGCAAAAACAGTCGATTTATTATTTACAAGTAGAATATCTATAAGCGGAATTTTTAAACATAAATTATTATTTATTTTTATAAATTTTAAACTCACCCCTTTTGAATATGAAGATTTGCAGCTTCAGTTTACCTTTTTACTTCTCTACTTCAGTGAATTTTATTTTAAATAATTTTCAAATTTTCAAGTTTTACTTCCATACAATAGGCACTACAAAGGTTCCTGATTCCAAAGTCTACAACGCATAAAAATGTGTTAATTAAGAATAAAACTCAGGACAGTCAGTAGTGCAATTACAAAAGCAAGTATGTATATGGCTAATAATAGCACTTTAAGATGCCTACGCTGAAGTCGCCTTTGCGTAGGTAAAGAGCAAAAATTATAAGCAGACTACACGCAAAATACACACACTTTATGGTACTCGAGGCGCACGCAGTTATTAAACTTATATATTATATCTGTTTGTTGTATGTATGTATGTACGTTGTTGCTACTATTTTGCGCTATTAATTAATTAAATACATAATTTATGACTTAACATTAACAGACGGCGGTTGTGCACTCGGCGCGAGCACACGCTCGCACACACACACACAGCAGCCTCAAGTGCGCTCTTTTAGGGGTGGCGCGAGGACCCGTTGGCTTATGAGTAATGCTCTTGTACCTATATTATGTATTTTAGCTGCGTTTTGCGGTGAATATGTTTGCACTTTTTATTATAAATGTTATTATTATGATGCTTTTTTGTTCACTTGTAAGTTGTACGCTCTGCTTCTGTGCTTTTTATTTATTTATAAATAATTATTATTAAAACATTTTTTTTATTGCAGCAAAATATAAATGAGCAAACACTTTTAATTTTTTATTTCGCACAAATTACATCTATATTAATATGAATTTATCGTATTTTATGCAATGTTAATTTGCCTTCTTTCTGTTTGTTTGTTTGTTTGTGGTTAGTTTTTGCAACTGAAAAAATAGCACATTAAATATTCATAAACGCATTGCGAAATTGTGCAGCTCATTTGTTCTATGGATTTTATATTATTATTGCATGATTTTAATTTTTTCCACTCGTTTATTTTGCGCTGCTGTGTGTTTTTATTGTTTTACTACTTTTTGTTAATTTTTTTTTTTCTGCCCTAATTTATTTGCATTTAATATTTGTTTATTGGCTTTAAAATGTTTTACAACTTTCCGCATGTAATTTGTTGTTTTTATTTGTGTTTTGTGAAAATTTATTTTCCATTAAATTTGTTAGTTACTTCGATGTTATTTCGATTATGATACGTAATGGTGTTTCACTTTATATAATAATGAGTTGAATAGTTTTCATGAATTTATTTTTATTTTATTAGGCGTAAATTAGTTAAAGTGTGCTGTGAACGATAAGAACATATCTGAAATGAGAGAAATATATTTTACTAATTTTTACTATTGAATTTGATAGATAAAAAAAATTTAAGAATGTTTCAGAATTTTATTTAAAGCGTTTAGAGCACCGAAAAGATTGGAAAATATTTAGTGCAATTAACTCACGAAATATTTCGATGTAAATTTCTTGGATTTAAATATAATAAAATAATAATATTAAAAGATCTAAAATATAAAAATTATGGTACTAAATACCATGTAAAACTTTGAATAAATTTATTTCATATGTTATTCCATACTGCAAAATATTGAATTTTTCTCACATTCTGTAAGCATTTGAAAAATATAAAAATAAAAATATACGACAATTTTTCCCTTTTTTATACCAAACTTATGCCTTTTCTAAAAGCATTCATTTTAATCATTCTTGTTTTCGCCCCACCTTATGGTCAAAGTACAATTAATTATTTTCATAAGAAGATATTTTTTATTTATTATGATTTTATTCTACTTCTTTTCCACCATACTAACAAGACTATTTATTATTTTTCTACGTAATTTTAATAATAAAATTTTTTTAATATTTCTCACCTTTCTCTATTTGAAATTTTTTTATACTTTTAAGATAAATATTCTTTATATTTTCCCCCCTTTCTTTTTTTTTGAAATTCTATTGATCTATAATCGAATACTGCAAATGCGATTTCTTCGGCTCTTCACATTACATCCTTTCTTTAATTTTTTTTATAGAAATTTCATTCTACTTCATTTAATGAAGATTTGATTTATTCTCTTTGAAATAATACGGTTTAATTCCTTAGCTATTTATAAATAAATATGTATTTTTAAGCATCTACCTATTATTTTCTAACTAATTTTCTTATTCAAATATTTTTCGTAGACACATCCGTTTTTTATTCATTTTTTCTTTCTGTTCACCCATCTATACAATGTTCTCCACGTATTAGTTTTTCATAACGGTATTTTAATCTTAATGATTTTCTTGTCATTACCTTCTCTTCTAGTGTTACCGTCAAAATTTCGTCACTGTTCAATTAATTGTGAAAATTGAAGAAGATATAAAATCACTCACACAACAGTTCAATGTCGATGCCCGCATATAAAACGTTGCCCATACGCCATGTACACCCGGGATCCTTACCAACGCACGCTGGTGAGAAAACAAATAAATTCAGTTCTATACGCCAAAAAAAAACAACAACAGATATATGTTTCTTTTCTATTTCAGCAATTGATGCACATACACACATTCACATATTCAATTAAGTGATGCCCATTCCCATACATACATACACACATGTCTGCCTTACTTAAAGCTTTATTGACCAAAAGAATTGTGGTGAACTAGAATAAATATAAGAGTAAAATGACAAAAAAGCAAATGATAAATTGCAGTTAACAGAAGGGTCACAAAAATAAACATGACAACAAAAAAACATTTGGAAAATATACAAAAATAAAATACGAATAAAATATATAGAAGGAAGTACAAACCCAAATGTTGGTCCATATAAGGGATAAAAACCGCCTGCAAAATGAACCGTAAAGCGGCAAAGAGAAAAAAGCAAGTTATATGCCGCAGATTTATGAAAGGAGACAGCGTAAATGTACCAAAACGATATGTAACTGTCCTTGAAATGCATTCAAATGCAAGTGTGTGGAAAAAGAGATTAAAGTTTTGTAATTTTCCCAAAACCATTGCTAGAAAGTATTTTTTGAATAAAAAGTTGCCGAAGAAAGTGCAACAAATGTCGAAATTCAGCTGAAATTCAATAGCATTAATATTTTTATTCAAAGCTGCTTACATTTTCAATTTCAATTAATTGAAGTGTTAAAAGATAAAAATTAATAAATAACAAATGTTAAAAAATAAATAATAAATAATAAATAATAAATATTAAATAATAAATAATAAATAATAAATAATAAATAATAAATAATAAATAATAAATAATAAATAATAAATAATAAATAATAAATAATACAATAATAAATAATTAATTATAAAAAATAAATGCTAAATAATTTTATAATAATAGTAATATACCATAATAAAGTAAGGTTATTAAGTTATTATTTGCTTAGTTTTGTTCCTTAGCTCAACACCATCTCCTTATTTTAACCCACTTTTAGTTTTCAAGTGCACACCTTATAAGGTTTTTTTCTTTTATGTCTGCATAGTTTGTTTACAATTTTTTTTCAGTAGTCTATCTTTCTCTATTCTCATTTGTTTTTTTTTTCTAATTTTTAACCCTATTTACGCATTTTAAGCCAGTCTACATTTGACTGGCTATGTGGCTATATGTGTAAAAATATGTGAGTCTCTCGCAAGCCAGTGGGGCATAATATGAAATGTGTATACATGTGCACATATGAGCATTTAATGGCTTGTGTATATTTAAAATATATATAAATAAGTTGTGTATTATACAAGTATAAGTGTGTATATTGTCCATTTTGTGAGTTTGAAAATGACCCAGAAACTGATTGTTGGGAAAACATATAACAGCTACGGATATGTGTATAAAAAATATTGCAAAGGAAATAGTGGAACATAGAAAATATAACCATCAAAGAGAGTGCCGTAAACATCAAAGAGAGGAAATTAAATAGGAAAAAATAACAATAAATACAGAATATGAATGAAACATCCAATCGAAAGACACGCTTGCATTGCCATAATAACGAAAATAACTAAAAAGAGCAAATAAAAGAGTGGGATTAAATATACTCGAAAAATAATTCCAGCAAAAATATCAATAAAATACCAAGTCCAAAACTTATGTTATCAATTTATTAAATAAAGTTTTTAATTTGTTTACAACTTTCACCTAATAAAATGGTACCTTAATTGCATTTCAGTTGAAAATTTGAATAAGTTATATTTTTTTTGACCACTTACGGCTCACAAATGCCGTTACATTACTTTAACCTATTCAAATTGCCTTTCTTTCACACCCTTTCAGAGATGGAATTTCGAAAAATCCTTTCTTATCCTATGAATACGGCAGAGCCACCACGAACAGCTTTTAAACTGGTTATTTATTTGTTAGCCATTCAATACAAAAAATTATACATATATATGTTACATTAATGTAACTAAAAAAAAGTCATACGATACAGAGAAACCAATGTCATTTGAAAAATTTCAAATAGGTATTTTATGAAATTTTTTGGAATATTATTTAGTCAAAATAAAAACATGAGTTTTAAAAATCATTCCAATTTCTTCAAAGTTGAAATCAGCACTTTTTTTGTGATTTTCCTAAAAAAATTATTTAATTCCAATAAAAGTCTCCTCAAAAGCTTCAAAAAATTTGCATCATCCCACTCTTAAATTTATGCTAGAAAACTAAGTTACGAAAATTAAAACTAAAATCATTTTTCTATAAAATTGCATTCAAATTCGAGAACTTTGTTAGCAACTAACCAGCAGCTAGCACCTCCTTGACGCTTTCACTTTCAGTCTGCGAATTTATATAAGTTTTGCATTTTCTATTTCTTCACTTTTTGTTATGCTAATGCTAGACCATGTTACCGAAATGCCCAACGCCTGCAACTTCATACTCTGCTGTTCGGAATTTTCACAACTGTTCTTTGCATGCGTCACAATGACCTTAGCTAGCAGGTACGTGCCTAGGAGATGACCAAGCGAACTAGTCTATGCGAAAGGTCACCCCCCACATTTCGTGTCAGCGAAAGCCAACATCACTACCGAAAAATAAAATTAAGCTCGTAAAAAATGCAAATTAAAAACTTATCCAATTAATTTTTATAAGAGTAGCGGGATTTTTTTCAAAATTTTTTTTATTTGTTTTCTGGAAAAGAGAAGCAAAAAAATGCAATATGTAAAATAAAATGTGATGGACCGCAATTACATTTAAAAAAAAAATATTTAGTTATTAAAACATTAATATAAAATATATAAATTTATTTAATAATATTAAATAACAAAAAAATAAAGTTTAAATAATAAAATAAAAATAATAATTTTGAAAAAGATAAATTAAATTTATTTCCAACATCTGATTTTTTTTAACATTCTACTTTGAATTTACATGCGCTAATAATGACAAAGATGAAGAATACTTTTTTTCATGAAAATAAAAATTTAATTTAATTTAATTAAACCGAAGAATTTCCAAACAAAACTTCGCCACAAAAATGTTTAAACTTAACGTATTATAAAACATGAAACAAAATAACTCACCAAAAAAATGCCTTAAATTGTTTTTTAATGTCACATAAAGTAGAACAACAACAAAGAAAGTGTAAAAATGAAACAGCTGATAAAATATATACACTGTAGCCTGATTCGCCAAAAGAAGAAGTAAGCGCGAAGTACAAAAGCAATGCAAGCAGCACAAACAACATCGATAATAATAGAATGTAATAACAGCAGCAACAACAACAATAACAGTG